AATTAAAAAAAAAAAGATCAAGACCTGAGCTGAGATCAAAAGTTGGACATAGTATTAGCCAACTGAACCATCCAGGCGCCCCTATTCCTTTTTTCAACCTTTCTATGTTATTACATTTTAGGTATATAACCCATGAACAAAATATATCTAAATTTTTAAATCTACTCTCAGAATTTTATTTTATTTTATTTTTTTAATATTTTTATTTATTTCTAGGAGAGAGAGAGACAGCGTGAACAGGGGAGGGTCAGAGAGAGAGGGAGACACAGACTCTGAAATAGGCTCCAGGTTCTGAGATGGCAGTCAGCACAGAGCCCGACGCGGGGCTCAAACCCACGAACCGCGAGATCATGACCTAAGCAAAAGTCGGACACTTAACCAACTAAGCCACCCAGGCGCCCCTGCTCTCAGAATTTTAAGTGGCAAGTTGAGTCCACTGACATCTACTGAAAATACTCATATGCTTGCATTCCTGCCTACCATCTTATTTTGTGATCTCTATTTACCAAGATTTTCCTCTACTTCTTTTTTCTCCTTTCCTGTCTTTTACTGCAACGATGGAGTTTCTTCAAAGGCATATCAGGAGCTGTGGAACTGGCACAGACTATAAGGGAGTGCATTTTCTGAAAAGAACCTTAAAACAATATTAAAGTCAACTGAACATGAGTCTGTTTTTCATTATCACCATTTGCTGGCAGTTCTAAAAATGTCAGTTCAGAAATTTGTTTTCTGTTGTTTTTTATTATGATTAATGCTGAGTTTTGATAATATATATGTAAGCTTCAAATTAGCATGTTTTTATTATTTCAATAAGCATTGTATTATACATGCAGTTAATTTAAAGAACTCCCAGTTATACAGTCTGTACCACATACATACTCAGATACTTAGGTTTACGATAATGTTTTGGGTAGTTCAGAATCATTTAAGCTTGCTTTAAGGGGAGTTTCATATCTCTAATCCTTGTTGTACTACACATTTCTGCATTTAAACAGCAGACTCAAAACAAACTGATATATTAAGACAAAGAAACAATACTTGAGTATCTTCCATCCTGTCATTCTTTGAGAAAAAACAAAAGATGGGTGACAATGTTGGCAGAAGGATTCAAAAGGGCAATGCTTGAACACCTGACTTGTTTTCAGCAAAAAACATTCTAAAGCAGATAATTTGATAGTAACCTTTAACAAATCTAGCTACTTTCTGATTTTTATGGAAGAAATCTTTAGAAGTTTGTATCAAATGTATAAGAAAACTGTATTTTTCTAGAAAAGACATTTTAGTGAAAACAGTATTTTTTAAAAGCCACTAGGATGGATATCAAAATAAAAAAAAATATGGTCAACACTGCAGTTTCAGGAAAACAAGATTTTTAATGAAACTGCCAAATTTATCCTTTTTTTTAAGTTTATTTATTTTGAGAGACTGTGCATGCAAGCATGCACACAAGCAAGGGTGGGCAGAGACAGAGAGCATGTTAAGAGAATCCCAAGCAGACTCCTCACTGCTACACGAAGCCCAACGCAGGGCTCAATCCCACAAACCCTGAGATTGTGATCGAAATCAAGAGTTGGACGCTTTACCAACTGGATCACCCAGGTGTCCATTAATTCCTTTTTTAATACATTGCTTCCTGCTGTCCATTTATTATTTTGAGTTACACTGACTTGTTCCTGAAGTACATCCTTTTGAGTTCTTTCAACAAGGGCTATCAGTAGTACATTCAAAACTATTCCCTATTTGCTCTCACGCATGAATAACAATTAGCAGGGAACTGCTCTCTACAATATTCCAATGAATTGGTAAATTACTACTGAAATACTTACTTCCTCATCTTCTGAATCACCATCATCATCATCATCATCATCATCTTCTTCTTCTGCTTCTTCACAAAGAGGTGGAGGTAAAGGACCAATAATATCTTCCTCAATATGATTACCTGGCTCTTTCATCATTTTAAGAGGTAAAGGAGGGCCAATTAACTCATCATCAGAAGAACCAGAACTCTCTTCACTTTCACTGCTGCTTGTATCCCTGAAAATACAGAAATAGAAACTCTTAGCTTCTACTGCAACAAAGAACACTCTCTAGAGATAGGACTTACTTCCCAGGACACTCTGCCTCTCCTTTTAACAACTAAGTTTTTATTGAAATTAATTAATTAATCTATAGTTTGTTAAAATTGTAACTGAAACATTAAATGTGTAACTCAGGTATTATTTTCTTAAGAAAGTAAAAGTTTCTTTTATCTACTTACCTTACTAAACATAAAGTCAGAGTTAAAGGTCACAGCAATTATGTTGCAGGCCCATTAGATAATCCTCACTCATGAAGAGTAGGTAGAACTGGAATGTGGAAGAAAAACTACAAAATACTATGTCCATAAGAAAGAAAACCACTGAGGTAACCAATGCCTCTGTTCCCTAGATTTGAAGCCCATCACTGTTTTTACCACAGGAACAAATTAAGCCAGCCATGTAAGAAAGTTAGTATCACCTCCATAATGTTTCAATATATTTTCTGAAACACAAATTGTTTCCCAGTTTTTTTTTAGTTTATTGTCAAGTTGGTTTCCATATAACACCCAGTGCTCATCCCCACAAGTGCCCTCCTCCATGCCCATCACCCCCTTCCCCTCGCCCCACCCCATCTGCCCTCAGTTTGTTCTCAGCGGCATTCAAGAATCTCTCATGGTTTGCCTCCCTCCCTCTCCCCCACTATTTTCTCCCTTCTTCTCCCCCATGGTCCTCTGTTAAGTTCCTCCTAATCCTCCTATATGTGCAAACATATGGTATTTGTCCTTCTCTGCCTGTTTTAATTCAAATGTCTTGAGTTGCTAAAATGGTTTATGTAGCATCCTTGGACTCTAAAGCCACCGTACTGTATGGCTTATCACAGATTCTCAAATGTTTTTCTAGCCAGCACACCTGAGGACCATGACACACTTTGGTTGAGGTCTTTAGGACGTACCTCTATGCATTCTGAAAGCCACCACCATCCATCATGTCACTCTACCTCCTACCCATCCCAAAGGGGGGTAGGAGTTTCTTTTATCTAGTATTCTATCTTTTATCTAGTGTGCATTAACTTATCAAATATTGTAAACTGAAAGTATTATTTCCCTGTAATAAAGTATTTCTAGTAAGTAAGCCCCATGAAAGCAGAAATTTCTGTGTGTTGTGTTCATTGCTGTCTCTAGCACCTAAATGAGGCCCAACATAATTAATAGGCACTCAATATCCACTGAAGAAAAAAATGTGATTTTTCTTTTTATTTTCATCTAAGGTCAATACTGAAGGGAATGCATACTTAAACACGTTATCCATATACAAAGATAGGAGCAAGCAAACATCCATGAAGAGTTTCTCTTTGTTTTTGCAGTAGTTTGGCTTGTGATGCTCCAGCCCTACAGGACTTCTTTCAAACCCTTTAGGTTAAGCTTGTCCAGTATGAGGGTCCTTGCACTTGTAGTTCCCTCTGCTGGGAATGATTGTTAAATCTCATCTTTCAGGTCTCGTCACATATCACCTCCTCAAAGAGGCTTTACTGGCCCCCCTTTCCAAACTTTTGAACATATCCCTATCAGTCACTGTTATCTTCATCCTCTTAGTTTACCTTTATTAAATACCTTACTAAGTTATTATTTGATTGGTTACTTGGTTTACAATCTGTTATCCATCTCCTCAAATATCCCCCCAACAATATGAGCTCAGAGATCTCATCTGACTTGCTAATTGCTGTACCCCAGTGCCGAATGCAGTGCCTAACCCACAACAGATGTTCAATAAATAATAGTTGAATGACTGAATAGATTTGTATTAAAGTAGTCACACTCCAAAATTTTTTCCCTTGTAATTAAATCACAAATTCCTAACTGTACTAGTTTAGAAGTCACAGACTTTCTTAATGCAAAGTTATTCAGAGCACAGAAAGCTCTACACTAAACTGTTAATCCTTAGCACCAGTGCTTTCAATGAGTTAACTAGTTCAGACACAAGCACTGAACTGAGAACTACATGAATCCACGTTGATTCTGTGCCTGATTATGCAGTCCTAATACCCATACGAAACTGCATGGAACGTATCAGCTTCTACGTCCATTTCTGTCTTTTTTATTCTAATGTACACAGCCAAAAAAACAAACAATTTTAACATATTTTCAATTTCTGGAAAACAAAGTCCGTAAAATTATGCCCAAAAATGTCCGTGACAGAAAACAGAACACATTCCAGGTTTAAAATATGCCTTGACTCAACGTGGTGCCAAAATATGAACCAGAGCCTGAGAAACAATATGCATCTGAAGAGAAACCAGAGGAGTCAAACCCTAACATTTTTCTGACTTTTTAAAAGAGAGCTTAGCTAAGTATTAAATAAGATGTGTAATTATAGAATTTCAATTTAGAAATTAAATTCATAAGCAAAATTCATTACTTCTGATACTAATTTCTTTAGAGAAAATGCAAATGTCTAAATGATTCCTACCTTACAAATTTGGAGTGCATCAATATTTCTCTCCTATCTTGCAGCTATATTGCATAAAATAAATGACATATTCCTTCCCAGTATTTGATTTTGAATGGCAACTTACATTCATATACTATTTCTTTGAAGCAAAAAAAAAAGGTGTAGTCTTAGGGACAGCTGGGTGGCTCAGTTGAGTGTCCAACTCTTGATTTCAGCTCAGGTCATGATCCCAGGGTTGTGGGATCGAGCCCCACATGAAGCTCCATTCTGAGTGTGGAGCCTGCTTGGGATTCTCTCTCTCCCTCTCTCTCTCTCACTCTCTCTTTCTCCCCTACTGCAACTCTCCCTCGCTTGCACATGCTCTCATTCTCTGTCCCTAAAATTTTTTTAACTTTTTAATTCATTTTTTAAGTTTACTTATTTTGAGAGAAAAAGAGAGACAGAGTGAGTGAGAGAGGGTCAGAGAGAGAGGGAGAGAGAATCCCAAGCAAGCTCCACACTGTCAAAGCAGAGCTGATGCAGGGCTCCAAATCACACACCGCTGAGATCACAACCTGAGCTGAAATCAAGAGTCAGACGCTTAACTGACTGAGCCACCCAGGCAACCACCAAAAAATTAAAAATGTTTTTAAAAAGTGGTAGTCTTAAATGACTACCTTCCTCTAAGCCAAATTTTAACAACATTGCATATATTTTTTTTAATTATTTGGGGGCGCCTGGGTGGCTCAGTTGGTTAAGCGTCCAACTGTTGATCTCAGCTCAGATTTGATCTCAGGGTCATAAGTTCAAGCCCCACATTGGGCTCTGTGCTAGATGTGAAGCCTACTTAAAAAAATAATAGTAATGAATAAAAAATAAAAATGGTTAAAGAACTTCAATAGTTAATTCTCCAAAGAAGATATATAAATGGCCAATAAGCACCTAAAAATATGCTCAACACCATTAGACATTAGGGAAATGAAAATAAAAACTACATGATACCAATTCACACCTATTACGATGACTATATTAAAAACATAACAAAACAAAATGGAAAATAACTAATGACAAGAATGTGAAAAAATTGGAACCTTCGCATATTGCTGACAGGAATGTAAAATGGTGCAACCACTGTGGAAAACAGTCGACAATTCCTCATACAGAAAGTCAAACAGGGGGCGCCTGGCTAGCTCAGTTAGAGGACCATGAGACTCTTGATCTCAGGGTCATGAGTTTGAGCTCCACGCTGGGTGTAGAAATTACTTAAAATAAATAAATAGGGGCATCTGCCTAGCTCAGTCGGTGGAACATGTGACTACTGACCTTAAGGTAGTAAGTTCAAGCCCTACATTGGGTGTAAAGATTACTTACAAACCTTTTAAAACATGAATCTTAAAATGTAAATGAATAAAACTTTTTAAAAAATAAAGTTAAACGTAAAATTACCATGTAACCCATAAATTCCATTTCTAGGTATATAGTGAAAAGAATTAAAAGCAAAGACTCAAAAGCATATACTTGTACACCAACATTCACAGCATAGAACCAAAGATGGAAACCGAAAAATATTCATTAATAAGTAATGGCTAAACAAATTGTGGTATATACATACAATGGAATACTATTTAGCGATTTAAAGGAATGAAGTTCTGATACAACAAGAACCTTGAAAACATCATCCAAAGTGAAAGAAGCCAGATACAAACGGAATAACATTGTATAATTCCACTTATATGAAATATCTAGAATGGGTAAATTCAAGGAGACAGAAAGCAGATCAGAGGTATCAGGGGCTAAAAGGAGAGAACAGTGGGGAATCATTGCTTAATGGTCAAATTTTTGTTTGGAGTGATAAAAATTTTGAAAACAGAAAGTTGCCACATTAATAAAAAAAATCAAGACAGGAGTAAAAAGTTACAATTTAGAAATATGAAGGTGAATAAAAGATGAATAACAAAAAAATTTAAGTAGTTTTTTCTGGGAAGTAAGAATTATGAACGGGGAAAACAATATTTGACTTTGTAATGTGTATAAATTCTTTGACAAAAATTTAAAAGATCAGTGCTTGTTGGGAATTAGGGGGAGGTAGTAATGAAAATGTAGAGCACAGAGGATGTTTAAGTCACTGAAACTACTCTGGATGATATATAATGGTAGCTACAGGTCATTACACATTTGTCCAAACCTACAGAATGTATAACATCAAAGACTGAACTCTCATGTAAACTATAGACTCTGAGTGATGATGATATGTCAGCACGAGGTCATTAACTGTAACAAATGCATCATTCTGGTGGGGGGGGGGTGTTGATGATGAGAGAGGTAAGAGGGCAGGGGCTATATGAAAAAAATCTCTGTACGTTCTGCTCAATTTTGCTATAAGCCTAAAACTGATCTAAAAAATAAAAGTCTTGGAGAGCCTGGGTGGCTCAGTCGGTTAAGCATCTGACTTCAGCACAGGTCATGATCTCACAGTTCTTGAGTTTGAGCCCTACATCTAGCTCTGTGCTGACAGCTCAGAGCCAGGAGCCTGCTTAGATTCTGTGTCTCCTTCTCTCTGCCCCTCCCCCACTCACACTGTCTGTCTGTTCTCTCTCTCTCTCTCAAGAATAAACAAACATTTAAAAAATTTAAAAAATAGGGGCCCCTGAGTGGCTCAGTTGGTTGAGCATCCAACTTCAGCTTAGGTCACGATCTTATAGGATGTGAGGTCGAGCCCTGCTATCTGGCTGTATGCTGACAGCTCAGAGCCCGGATCCTTCTTTGGATTCTGTGCTTCCCTCTCTCTGCCCCTCTCCCACTCATGCTCTGTCTCTCTGTCTCTGCCTCTCTCTCTCTCTCTAAAATAAACATAAAATTTTTTAATTAAAAAATAAATAAATAATAAGAATTAAAGCCTATTAAATAAAATTTTTAAAAAATTAAAAGCAAAGGGGCAGGAGAAATCGATTATCCGTATGGAGGAGAAAATAAAACTGGATTTCAACTTCACATTACTCTCAAAAGGCAATTCTGTATTGATTAAAGACCCAATTGTGAAAAACAAAACTTGAAAACTTAGGGGAAAAATATAGGAAGTTATCTTCATGATCTCAGAGCAAGGACTCCTTTCTTTTTTTTTTTTTTTAAGTTTATTTCTTTATTTTGGGGGATAGAGAGAGAGTGCATGCACAGGAGCATAAGCAGAAGAGGGGCAGAGAGAGAAGGAGAGAGAATCCCAAGCGCAGAGTCTGACACAGGGCTTAATCCCATGACTGCAAGATCATGACCTGAGCTGACATCAAGAATTGGATGCTCAACCAACTGAGCCACCTGGCTCCCTAGAACTCATTTCTTAAACAAAACACAAAAGCACCATAGAAGAAAAGATTAATAAACTAGAGTACATTAAAATTTGAAACTGGTGTTTATTTAAAAAACACCATTAAAAAATAAAAAATAATAAACCATCAAGCAACCCAGGGTAAAATCTTGCAGAAGATACAGTTCTTATTGTATCTTCATTAGAAAAAATGTATTTCCAGAAAAACTTTTAAAATGATGCACAACTACACTAGTAACCAACAAAATGCAAATGAACACCACAAGGCTATTACTTCACAATAACCAGATTGGCAAAAATGGAAATGTGCAACAATAACGGGTGTTGGCAAGGATGTGGAGCAACAGAAACTCTTACACTCTGCTGATGGTAATGTAAATGGGTACAAACTCTTCTGAAAATAATTAAGCCAAATTTGGCAAAAGTATGTACTTAACTCAAAGACCTAACAAGTCTACTACTAGATACACACTCTAAACAAATTTGTGTGCATATAAAACAGAGGATGGCTACAAGGCGGTCACTAAAAACATGTTATAATATAGAAAAACAGCAACCTAAACGGATTAGACCATGGAAAAATTATAGTATATTTCTAAAGAAAAAACCAAACCACATTGAAAAGGAACTATAGCCTCACTTGTGAACATGAATGAATCTCAAAAACATCTTGAAAAAAAAGAAAAAACCTCCAAGTTGAAAAAAGAACTCATGACACCATTAACAGCATCAATATAAAATAAGAAATCATGGGGCACCTGGGTGGCTCAGTCAGTTGAGCACCCAACTCTTGATTTCGGCTCAGGTCCTGATCCCAAGTACATGGATGGAACCCCAAGTGAGGGCTCTAATGGTGCAAAGCCTTCTTGGGATTCTCTCTCTCTCTCTGTCCATCCCCCACTCACACTCACTCACACGCATGCACTCTAAATAAATAAATAATTTTAAATAAGAAATCATATAAAACAACATAATATTTAGGAATATACTTATACCTAATAAACTATTTTAAAAAAGAAGGAAGGAAAAAAAAAAAAAAAGAAGAAGGAAGGATAAACAAAGTGAAGATTTCCCCGGAGGAGGAGAGAGAACTATGAGCTGAGAGAAGACTTCAAAGCTCTGTTTCCCAAGCTAGGTGTTCACTTCATCATTCTCTTTACTTTAAATGTAGGGTATATAGAGCTTTATATATATGATATACTTCATGACAAAAATTTTTTGTTTAATCAAAGGGAAAAACATCCCCGACCTTAGAGTGTCCATAATCTTATGAAAGAACACACAACAGAAACAGTTTACAGAATAGTGCATAATATGCTAAATGCTATACTAGACATGTAGGGGGAAAGGTTTTAAAATATGCACAAAAATACTATATATATATATATATATATATGTCTTAGGGATACAGAGATACACAATAACATTATAAAGATATATATAAAAAATTTTTAAGTTTAGAAGATTGGTTACTTCTGCCAAGAAGAGAGGGGGAAGCAATGGAAGGCAGTTCTGAGAAGTGTTCACCATAATAGTAAAAGTTTATTTCTTAAGTTGTCTAGTGGATACTGTCCTTTATCAACTTTTTGAAAGTCTTAAATACTTCATAATAATTTCTCACTTAAAATCCAAAGTTCTTATTAAATCTAGAAAAAAAGAAAATAGCATAATAATCTCATATCGGAGGGAAAGTAATTGCCTAAGAAATATATCTCGGAGAGCCCAGGTGGCTCAGTCAGTTAAGTACTGGACTTTGGCTCAGGTCATGATCTCGCGGTCCATGAGTACAAGTCCCATGTCTGGCTCTGTGCTGACAGCGCGGAGCCTGGAGCCTGCTTTTGATTGTGTCTCCCTCTCTCTCTGCCCTTCTCCTGCTCATGCCGTGTCTTTCTCTCTCTCTTAAAAATAAATAAACATTTAAAAAATTAGAAATATATCTTGAATAAATTAAAATATGCTCAAAAACATTCATTTATACAATGAAATGTGATATAACTAAGATTCTTTAAAAAGCTAGAAAATGAGAAAAAATATCCAATCCAACAAGTTTATCAATACAAATTATGAGGTCCAAATTGAAGTGGAGAAAGAAATAATCAGATTTATTTTTTAAAAAAAGACATAAGAATCATAAGAAAAAATGCATACTCTTAAGGCAATTAAAACTATGCGGAAATTACGAGGCACCTGGGTGGCTTAGTCGGTTAAGCGTCCGACTTTCGCTTAGGTCATGATCTCGGTGGTTCGTGGGTTCGAGCCCTGCGTCGGGCTCTGTGCTGACGGCCAGCTCAGAGCCTGGAGCCTGTTTCAGAGTCTGTGACTCCCTCTCTCTCTGACCCTCCCCTGCCCATGCTGTCTCTCTCTCTCTCGCTCCTAGAAATAAATAAAAATATTAAAAAAAAAAAAAAAACTATGCGGAAATTATACAACTCTGAGTCGCCTCAATGAAGAAAAAAGTCACTTAACAGTTTTCTCCCACCTATATGCTCTAGCATTTTGTCCTAGTACATGAAAGCCACTGGCAAAGGCCCTTTAAAAGTCCTTAACAGGGGCATCTGGGTGGCTCAGTCGGTTAAGCATCCGACTTCAGCTCAAGTCATGATTTTGAGGTTTGTGAGTTTGAGCTCTGCATCAGGCTCTATGTTGACACCTCAGAGCCTGGAACCTGTTTTGAATTCTGTGTCTCCCTCATTCTCTGCCTCTCCCCGACTCAAGCTCTATCTCTCTCCATCTCTCTCTCAAATATAAAAGTCCTTCACTAATTCTATATTTATTGTTTATCTAAAAATGTGTATTTGTTTACAAAATTTCAAGAGAATTCTTTTTAATTACGGGCTTTCTCCCCCTAAGTAAAAAGGTCATATGTCCCTTCTCAGACCAGTAAAGACTGCTTCCCATGATGCCAATGCATAGTCATTGTAGTGACTGACATAAGCTGCCACTTGCTTCATATTTCTGAGAAAACTAACATCTGATAGTGTTTACTGGCTGACCTCTAATTAGAACTGAAGAACTTTAACTACAAAAAAAAATAAATAAAAGAAAGAAAAAGGAAACTGAAGATCTGTAAAAAATAAATAAATAAATAAATAAATGAGTTTCTTAGAACAATATCACTGTCTTTATTCTTTTTTCTTTGAAATGACTACCAGTTTCAATTACCTAAGATAATCAATTATCTAGACTAAATTTAAGGTGTTTAAGATTAAACACCTAAATGGGAGTGATAATTTAACAAAATCCTTTTGAGAAAGTCAAGCACCTGGAAGAGGATTTAGAGCAATCTCTGACCACATTTGAGCCTGAAGATGTTGGTTCAATATCTTCATTTTGCCTTCTTAATTCTTTCTCTCTGTTCATTTCTTCCTCTTTTTCTCTTGCTTCTGAAAAGATTAAAAAATTTCCAATAGTTAGACTTCAAAATTTGTCATGATTCATAAAGGCTAAAAATTAATACAGTCACAGAGATGTAACTTAGAGTGGTCCCAGTAACAGCAAAAAATTATCAATCTAAATATCTAACAATGGGAAAATAACTGAACTATTGTAAATCAACATAATAAAAAATACAGCCAATAAAAAGAGTGATAGAAATGTACAAATCTGGGAAAAATAGTAACAGATACACTAAGCAAACTTAGCATGTGAATAGTATATGAGCCACAATGTACTATCTAAAGAGATATGGGGGGAGCAGGCACCTGGCTGGCTCAGTCAGTAAAACATGTGATTCTTGATCTCAGGGTTGTGGATTTGAGCCCCACACTGGATGTAGAGATTGTTTAAAAATAAAATTGTTAACTAAACTAAAATAAAAAGATGTGGAAGGTTATAAGTAAAAAATACAGTATCTTAAAGTAAGATTTTAGGTAATTGTACTTTACATTTTCAATGTTTTAAACTATAAACTTAGAATTTTGTTCATTTCTGGGGCACCTGGGTGGCTCAGGCAGTTAAGCGTCCAACTTTGGCTCAGGTCATGATCTCGTGGTCCACGAGTTCAAGTCCTGTGTTGGGCTGTGTGTAAAAAAAAAGCATTTTGTTCATTTCTGAATTTCCCACACTGAATTTGTAGTCAAGACTTTCCAAAAAATTATGAGAAAATTTCAGATTTCTACAGTTATTTACCTTGGAAAGACAAAAAAAAAAAAAAGAAATTAAATATTTCCTCTGATTTTTCTTATTTGAGCCATTTTTAATTAGATCTTCTAGGACCTCTTTGTAAGTAACAAAAAGTATCTTAAGAGCAACCTTAATTTAAAAATTATAGCAGCTAATACTTAACATGGAGCTTACTATGTACAAGGTATTGTTTTAAGCACTGCCTATAAATTAACTCCTTTAATCATCACAACCATCTCTGAAGTAGACACTATTTTTTAGCTTTATTGAGGTATAGTTGACAAATAAAATTGTAAAAGATTTAAAATGTACAATGTGGGAGTGCCTGGGTGGCTCAGTCGGTTAAACGTCCAACTTGAGCTCAGTCATGATCTCATGGTTCATGGGTTCGAGCCCTCCGTCAGGCTCTGTGCTGACAACTAGCTCAGAGCCTAGAGCCTGCTTCGGATTCTGTGTCTCCCTCTCTCTGACCCTCCCTTGCTCACACTGTCTCTCTCTCTCTTAGGAATAAATAAAACATTAAATTTTTTTAAATAAATAAAATGTACAATATGACTTAATATACATATACATTATGAGAGGATTCCCCCCATGGAGTCAATGAACATATCCATCATCTCACATTATTCACCTTTTTTTTTTTAAGTGAGATATTTAAGTTTTACTCTCCTAGCAAATCTGAATTACACAACACGCTTGAAGTAGGTACTATTATTCTCACTCTACATTTGAGAAATCTATGCCATAGAAAAGTTAAGTAACAAAGCTATAAAGTCCCAGAACAGTGAATGGAGGCTCCAGAACTGGATCTTTCTGAGATGTCCATACTTTCTTAAGAGACTAAAATTATCCAATGAGCATCACCTACCTTAAGTAATAATTTGCCTGCCTTTCTCTCCAAAGAGCTACAAAGCCCAGCCCATCACTGCATGCTTGTCACCAGACTATCTGGAAAATGACCCACCCATCTGTTCAACTAGAGTTCCTCAGCAGAGGATAACTACTCCAAACTACTTGTCCCTAGAGAAGCATCTAATTTTTTAATTTAAAATTTTAACTTTTTTCTTTTAATGCCAGAAAGGAGTTTCTAATCAGAGAGAGTCTTGCCATCACCTGATGCTTCATTAAAGCAAAGGATAAAGATAAAAGGGGGATGAAACATGGAAAAAAATATTTTCTTCCTCACCATTAACTGAGGACTAAAACCAAAACCAAACAGAATTCAGTATTCTTTTTTTTTTTTTTACAAATAGTTTATTGTCAAGTTGGTTTCCATATAACACCCAGTGCTCATCCCCACAAGTGCCCTCCTCCATGCCCATCTCCCCCCTCTCCCCCCATCACCTATGAGTCCTCAGTTTGTTCTCAGCACAGAATTCAGTATTCTCTAACTCCCTGACAGAAGGTATCATTTCATGCACTTTGACCCAATGTGGAACCAAGCACACTGTAAGCACTGTAGAAATGCTCTATATCTTCCCTGAATCAAACTGAATTAATCTACTACCCAACACTTACTTTTATACTTCCAAGCACCTCATTTTATTGTTCTCTACCTTCAAACAGTTACCAACTACAGACAGCCATTCCTGCAAAAGCCCCTCCAAATGTACCCAATTTCTGTCTAGGTTAACAGCAAACAATCCAAACCTTCATGTCCCATCTGGGCCAGTTCACACAAACTGCAGACTCAAAGAAATGTAATTCGGCAACTGAAAATCTGAGAGCCAGTCATTATAGCAACCACTTAACTTGAAGAAATGAAACTTAAGATAAAATGTAAAAGATGGGAATGCAAACTACTGCAGCCACTCTGAAAAACAGTATGGAGGTTCCTCAAAAAATTAAAAATAGAACTATCCTACAACCCAGCAATCGCATTACTAGGTATTTATCCAAGGAACACAGACATGCTGTTTTGAAGGGGCACATGCACCCCAATATTTATAGCAGCACTATCAACAATAGCCAAAGTATGGAAACTGCCCAAATGTCCATCAACAGAAGAACAGATAAAGAAGATATAGTATATACATACAATGGAGTATTCCTCAGCAATCAAAAAGGATGAAATCTTTCCATTTGCACTACATGGATAGACCTAGAGGGTATTATGCTAAGCAAAATTAGTCAGAGAAAAACAAGTATCTTATGACTTCACTCATATAAGGACTTAAAGACACAGAACAGATGAACATAAGGGAAGTGAAGCAAAAATAATATAAAAACAGGGAGAGGGACAAAACATAAGAGATTCTTAAACGTGGAGAACAAACCGAGGGTTACTGGAGGGGTTGTCGGAGGGGGGATGGGCTAAATGGGTAAGGTGCATTAAAGAATCTACTCCTGAAATCATTGCTGCACTGTATGTTAACTAACTTGGATATAAATTTAAAAATAAATTTTAAAAAATAAACATAAAAATAAAGTTAAAGTGGCTTGTCAAGGAACAAATTGCAAGTGGAAAAGCCAGAATTTAAACCATGGTGTCGTAAGTCCAAGGTACTTGTTTTAGTTGTCCTATACCAGTCCTTCTTAACCTTCTACTTTAATTTGTAGATTCTGTAGTCCAGAATTATGGGGTTTATGGTGTTTGGTGGAACCAGTCTTCTACAGAATGAGGCTGATTCTTCACTTTCTGTCAGTGGAATGAGTTCTTTTGTCAGCTACTGATTGCTCTGGGCTCTACCCTCAGGGATGATGCCTCTTAGGGGTAGGGATGGAGCCTACTCCAACAGGGATTCACTCACTGGGAGGCTGATTGGAGTCAGGATTAAAGAAGACTTGTTTGTAAACTATGGGGTCCTTATTAGTCATAGAACTTCTACAAAACATTCTGGGGTGGTCTGCCAAGTTTGATCCCAGGAATTCTGTAGATTCATAAGGTAAAATCTTAGTGCCAGTGTTTCAGAAATAAAGTACCAGGGACACCAAGTTTCTAATAACATCTTCAATAACGTGTGGAAATCAATGCATATCAAATCTATTGCTTGATGGTAGCCCAAGCATGGATTGCCCTAGTTCCTCCTATTTCTTCCATCCTTTTTGACCTGTGCTCTCTAACCTGGGTCTAGTGGACTAAAGATGGAAGGAAGTCCTAGATTACTGAGCTGAAGGGAATTCTTGGGACCTTAAGAATTGGAGTCTAAACATCTTTCCTCCAGAACAATGTTATTACTGGGATTTTTTTTTTCCTGTGCTCCAACCATCTCCTCTCTCTGTCCCTTTCTCAAATGAATTTCCCTTCATTTTTATCCTCCCTGCTTCCTTTAACTCTGACTTGTACATCATGGTGGCTTATCACTCCTTAGAGGTTCATCAACTTTAGCACCATTGGGAAACTGAAAGGTTATTTCACAATTTCCTGGTTCAAATACTTTAAAAAAGAAAGTTTCATAATGAATATACACATTTCCAAAGAAGACATCCAGACGGCTAACAGACACCTGAAAAGATGCTCAACATCACTCATCATCAGGGAAATACAAATTAGACCCACAATGAGATACTGCCTCACACCCGTCAGAATGGCTAAAATTAACAACTCAGGCCACAACAGATGCTGGCAAAGATGTGGAGAAAAGGGAACCCTTTCGCACTGTTCATGGGAATGCAAACTATGCAGAACAGTATGGAGGTTCCTCAAAAAATTAAAAATAGAACTAGCCTCCAACCCAGCAATTGCACTACTAGTTATTTATCTAAAGGATACAAAAGTGCTGATTCAAAGGAGCATATGTAGCCCAGTGTTTAGAGAAGTGCTAACAACAATAACCAAATTATAGCATGGTAGGGTCCCATCCCTAAGGAAAGGGAAAACAACAACAAAACCTCAAGGCAACCTGGCTATATGTGTATATGGCATTCCTGACGACCTTGTAACATGAGACCACTTAGACTGCCTATTAGTGTGTTACCATATATGGGAGACAAAGAAGTAGAAAATATATTTTAAAAACTACACCACATGGTGTTCAGGGCTCTACTAACCCAACTGAGCCGTGCCGGCATGAATAAAGTTGCTTCCTGGAAAGAAAAGCCTGTGTGTCATGACTCTCTACTAGAATCCTGCTACAATGGGAAGAGTCCAAATATCTATTGACTAATGAATGGATAAAGATAATATACACGGGATACTACTTGGTGATCAAAAAGAATGAAATCTTGCCATTTGCAACAATGTGGTTGGAACTCAAGTGTATTATGCCAAGTGAAGTCAGTCACAGAAAGACAATTTTATGATTTCACTCATATGTGGAAT